CTCCCACTCAACAGCTGCAACAACAACACCACCAGCCATCACACTCACCCCAACGTGGACGCTTGCAATCACCACAACCACAGCAATCGCCATTGCAGCACCAACAACAACAACAACAATTGCAACAACAGCATCAGCAACAGCAGCAATATGCGTTACAGCAACAATCAAACGAGCCGCCATGGGCTAATATTGNGCAGCAACAACAACAACAACAACAGCAGCAGCAGCAGCATCGCCACAATCAACAGCGTTCGCCACATCACGCCACTCCCACTCAACAGCTGCAACAACAACACCACCAGCCATCACACTCACCCCAACGTGGACGCTTGCAATCACCACAACCACAGCAATCGCCATTGCAGCACCAACAACAACAACAACAATTGCAACAACAGCATCAGCAACAGCAGCAATATGCGTTACAGCAACAATCAAACGAGCCGCCATGGGCTAATATTGGATTTGCCGGTGTCAGCATGCAGCAGCAACCTCAGCCGCAGCAACAACAACCCGCGGCACAACAACAACAACAACAGCAGGGCACTGTGGGAGGCACACCTGGTGGCGAGCTCAAAGACAAGTTCTACATTGTTGATGCTCCCGATTTCCTTGGGCTTCCCTTGAATGTGGGCTCCAACGGCAGTGCAGCAGGAGCCTCAACACCAAACTCACTTTCTCAGCAGCAGCAGCAGCAGCAGCAACAACAACAACAACAGCAGCAGCAGTCCCCAGGGGGTGCGAGCAGTGGTGTCACCAACAAACAGCAGGAACCAGCGATAGGCGGAGAACTAATTAGTTTTCAGGTAGGTTTACGACTGGTGAATTTTTTTCAATAACCAAAGGGAATAAGTCAGCATTTTCCTGATATGACAAATTTGATGCAGTTCAACAGAGCTCCTTTAACGAAGCGATCTTCTTCAGAATATTCATATCGAAAAATGCTGACTTATTTTCCTTGGTAATTACCCAATTCACTGGTATTATGACTTTTTCGCATAACGGTAGTTTTTAGCAATCAAAACTAATCGAGATATTCTTTGTTCCAAACAGAATATTTGGCCAACGCCTGGTTCGACTACGTCGCAAATGATGTTCGGAAGCAGTACGCAACAGCAACAGCAGCAACAACAACAACAACAACAGCAGCAGCAACAACAACAGCAAGCCCAAAACAGCGCACAAAGTGGACAAGCTGGCGCCATTAGTGCTGCAAGTGTTGGCTCCACCGATCCACATAACTACAATAATATTGGCAGCATACTCACGAATCTCATTGATACCAATCCAACTTCAATGGAGTACAACTTTGATTTAATGCAGCCGGGCGCTGCACAAATGGGCGTTTCACAATCGCAACCACAACAACATCAGCAAAGCCCACTTTCAGCCCATCAGCAGCAGCAACAGCAGCAACAACAACAGCAACAGCCACAACAACCACAACATCCGCACTCCGCTCATCAACAGCACCATTCGCACCCACATCAGCATCAGCAACACCATAGCGCAGCAGCTGCAGCGGCCGCAGGCAATTATGGGGCAGCTAGCTTAATGCGCCACACTAGCATATATGGGTCTCCAAGTGGCGCTTCTCTATATGACACTAGCGCTGCCGCTGCTGTGGCTGCGCATCATCACCATCACCTGCCTTCTCATCACCCGAGTCTAGTGGAGTTGTCAGAGCAACAACAAAAGAATAGTTTTCAACCATATCACCCACATGCATCTTCCCATTCGCTAAGTGGACACCATCCACTTGCGCCGACTGCACATCATCCGCTTGCACCGCATTTGTTGCCGCCGCCGCCGCCGCATGCGAGCATATACGATCGCGGCGTTAGTGGTGGTGGGTATCCTACGATGCTGATGGGCAGTGGTCCCGGTAGCGGTGGCGGTGGGGAAGAACAAAAAACTGTATTACCGCCAATCAGTGATTACATGCATCACATACAACAACAACAACATTTGCAGTCACAACACCCACAACAACCGGATCTGGTTTACTATCCAGTGAAAAATGAATGACATCTAAAGTAGGGCGTAGCGATGAGTGTGGGAATAATTGGAGGTGAGCAACAACAGAACTGCAACACAAACAGCAGTGGCATAAGTTCTTACGCTGTGTCGAAACGGCACCACCCATACCAACAACTGCCACCGCCATCGTTCAGACATTATCACAATAATAAAGGCGGGGAGGTGCACTTACATGCACAACAACTGCAGCATCATCACTTTCAGCATCATCAACAACCGTCGACATCATCACACGCTTGGTGGCATGCAGTAACCGCGCTTGGCGCAACTCCACCCGCAATAACACCACTAGCTGCAATAACAGCCAAAGTTGCTGCGGGCGCTGGAGGAGGTGAACTAGGTGAAGTAGGTACAGCGTTAGAAGAAGTTAATCGAGCGCCAGCTTCATTTGCATCAACCGCAACTAAGGGAGGCGGACATTTCTTCTAAGCGTAAGTTAGGAGTTGCAAAAAGCAACAGATGTTATTACATATAAGAAGAAAAAATAAAAATAAAACATAGATATATATAAACATAACCTTATAAATATAATAGTAGCTAGGATTATACAGCCTGCATATAAGACGCGCAAAGAAAGCGGTAGCGAGTTTTAAAATTAGCATATTTTGCAAAATGTGTTTTCTCTTTGGAAAGCATATACTTTTTTTTCGTTTAAAAACTAGGTTACGAATAGGTTTGTAAATAATTGACGATAAATAATTTTTTCCCCTAACACATATTAGTTCGAAATCAGGTCTTCGAACTTAAACGCCTTTAAGGACCAGCATCGTACATGCGAACACATAAAGAAGGAATGAGAAACGCAAGCATACACATACATACATATATTAAAATGCGTATTGCATAAGTTATGCAAAAAAATACATACATATATCACAAATTATAGCTTATAAAAATCGTGTAAATATCAAAGAAAAATTTAAAGATATATAAATAGGCTTTAACTACACATTATTACAAACATATAAGTACATCCATACATTTTTAAAAAGCTCGAGAGCGCTTGATCCTCAACCGATGAGTTATATCATACATCTGATCAGCTGCAAAACAGGACCATTGTACAGTAAGCAGGCAAATTAATATGATGGCATTTTAAAGTTTGCCATTGAATGAATCTTATCAAGGAAATTTACATATGTATGTATGTACATATGTATATAGTATTTGAAGTACATAGAATGAAAAAACATACACAAATATGTATGTAAGTACACAAGCTTTGAAAAAGTGTGCAAGTTCGTTTGATTGAAGATTAAGTGAAAACTAAATTTGTGTATGCACAACAGACCTCGGATAAGAGTTTGGCAATTACGCCCCTTAGCTTGAAAACCTACTTCGGGAGGAATCCTGCCTGCGCTGTAAAAGAGACAAAATATTTTCTCTTCACATTTTTTACGTATGACCAGATTGGTCGGGTTTGGGCATTATAGATCTTTTACTAATATTTTTAATTCTATGGTAACTAATGAATTTAATTGCGGGGATATCGAAATAGTTGAGTTTACTCTTCAGAGGGAATGGTTTAGGTCAACATCTTGAATGGATATAATGGGAGCAGTAAAAAACATTGCGTATTTTTGTATGTTTTTCATAGTCCTTTAGATTAGGAATGTCAGTGGCAAAAATACATCGATGTATTTCTTTGATTCGATGCGTCGAAGTGTACATCGATATTTTACGATACATCAATTTGTTCAGATAATTTTCAAAAAAAAAAAAAAAATTTATTACCAAAATTGTACAAAATTCAAAATTAATTACTGCAACTGAGCTAATTATTTTTAAGGGAACTTTTTGATTCCATTTAAATTTTTGGTCAAAGTCTCTTCTCATTTTTGTTCAATTGAAAAACTGAAACAGCAATTCAATGCACCAGAGATGTCAGTTTTCAATAAACATCGATGCATCGATAGAGCGGCTACTTATACATACATCAAGTGGAAAAATTTCGATGCATCGAAGCAAAATATTGATGTTTTCGATGAATCATTACTAATTGGAGCATTACTAATTTAAGATTGACAAGGTCTTTTTTTATGACGTTTTGCTTTTGAAGTGGTTTGTGGGAATCGTCACGTGAGGGCAAATACCGTTTGCATTCCACATTGTTGTAAACAAGCTGCAGATTAACACCAGTTATCATTCTTAAAAAAAAAGTTTGTTTTCTACACGCACTTCCTTGAAATTCATATATCAAGCTTATGGGGAGACTAATTTTCCATGGTGGAATAATACAAGGTGTTGGATATTGACAGCGTTCTCGCTCTAATCCGCCATCTTGACTCCCTTAGCAAAATCGATGTTTCCCTCTTGAAAAAACTACATTTTACCGCCTTAAAAAAAGTACTAAACTAAAACTAAAAGTAGGGAATGAGCCTATTCTAAAACTGATTTGCAATCACTGAACAATTATTTNCGAAATTGTTGTTGCTTGAGATTGAAAATGAAAATGTGTGTGTGAGTTTGTGAGTAAATTTAAAAATTAAATTGTTTGGAAACGTCAAGAATTTTAAAAGTGACTCTCAGCGGTTCTACCTTACTATATTTTTATCATGATTCCACCATGCTAATTTTCAATGTTTCTGTCATCCTCGTCTCGTGTAACGTGTATTTGACTTGACAAATGCCTTTTTTTTTGTCATAACATACGCAATTACTTTTTACTCCACTCAGTGTACAAATTAAATCCGGAAGGAGAAATAAATCAGGTTATGAAGGAAACTCGATTTCGATTCCTTTTTCAAGGCGCAGCTATTGCATAAATTTATGTGACGTTAAACTCCTCTCGAAGTAAGATATCAAACCAAGAGGGTTGTAAACATACATACATACATATACACATGTGCATGTGCTTACATAAATATATAGTTTTATACACTGTTTATATCATTGATGCAACTAAGGCTAAACGCATAGTGGAGGAGCGAGCAAAGAGCACCGAGCAATGCTTCGATTACAAATGTATTTGTTTCAATGGGAGCTCACATAGTGAAAAGCAAAGCGTACTTACACGTTTGTAATTGCCGCTTTGCTCGATGCTATGCTCATCACTTTGCTTGCCGCTCCACTGTGTTTAGCCTAAATAAGCTAAGAAAAAAATTTTAATTTCAAACCGTTAACTAACTGGTTTCATTATTAATTTCTTTAACAATTCTTCATTACCTGCTACTTATTTCCTCTTTAATGCTAGTTTAGTCTCGCAAGTTTTTCAAATTTTACATTTTATTCGATATATTTTAAATAGGCTCTATATCTTTTGTTCTAACTAAAATCTTTTACAATTTCTTTGATTTCTATTACAATTTATTCGAAATACACTAACACTGAACCAAAAACACCAATCCACTAACCAAAAACATACCTACAGCCTGTCAAACACACACCTACAGCCTGCTAGAAAAAACGACAAGAAGAAGACTTATGTTACGTATGGAACTATACAATGATCTATATTTATAACATTTTCCGCATTAATCGAAATTGAACGTTTCATCTCAAATTGAATAAATGGCGTGACCAAAAATATGAAAAGTTTAGCCTTGCCCATCACATATAAATTATTTATTCTGCCTCATCCTGAGTTTCGCCCGAAAAAAATTCACCCGAAAATGTTTCATCCGCCCATAGTAAATACATGGAAAAGTAAAAAGTGAACCGGTTCGCAGAAAATGAAACTCACGATAAGGCTGAATAATTTCATTATGCATTATTCAGATCCTACTTTTAATTCGACTCACAACCATTTTTTTTTCTTGACTGTAACGTTTTCGAGATTTATAAATTTTACAGTGAAAAGCTTATAATGGCAGCAAATTATAGGCATTTTCATGGGAAGCAATCCATATATCGACTGCTGAGTGGAAGATTCGAAAACGCCCTATCTCAAGAAACTTTTCAAGAACGCCCTATTTCAGAATTCGTTTCAAAAATGCCCTATCTCAGCTGCCGATTCAAAAACGGCTCTATCAGCACATTTTCAATACATTTTGAAGTAAGATAGGGCATTTTTGAACCGAATTTTGAGATAGGGTGTTTTTCAATAAAATTCTGAAATAGGGCGTTCTTGAAACGTTTCTTGAGATAGCGCATTTTCGAACTGGCTGCCGAGATAGGTCGATTTTTCACTCAGCAGTCGATATGTAGATATTTTTTGCGTAACAATATGTTTTTCATAATTTGCATTTAAAGATTTATTATTAAAATATAAACTACAATCCTAATCTGTTTGCGATAATCCGAACAAACTTTCTATATGTTACTCCTCCTTTTGAGAGTTTATCAAAATTAGATATTCGGGCAGGTTCTGCGATTCACTTCAAAGTGAATTTCAAGCCCTTTCAACATGATTCAAAGTGATTTGGTTAAAATTCACTCGAAAGTGAGTTGTAGAATATGCCTGATTACTTGTATTTCATTTTCATTTATTATTTTAGACCTGCACGGTTGAACGGTGCGTAAAGTTTTCGACGCAAATTATACCAATTGTTTGTTTAAAACTATCGTTCAATAGTCCACATCTAAAAAAGAATTTCTCGTTCAATTTGAATTCGAATTATTATTATTGTCTTGTGAATTTTTGTCCTACTTTAAATAAAAACCCATGATATTCATGCCTATTACGGTATCCGACGGATGCCATCCGCACGGATCTAATCAGATTCGCACTGTCGGAATAAGCGAGTGCGAAGGATTAGATTCGTGCGAATGGTATCTGTCGGACCAGAATAGGTCTGTTTCCGAGGGATCCCATTCTCATGAATCTAATCCTTCTCATTCGCTTGTTATGACAGTGCGAATCGGATTAGATCCGTGCGGATGGCATCCGTCGGATACCGTAATAGGCATGATTGTTTTAATTGCTTACTCGGTCTTAAACCGCATCAATATACCTATCACATTCAAACGCTTAAATTACATAAATATAAAAATTTTAGCTCCATATCACTTTTTTATAATGCTTTTGAGAAAAGTTTTGAAACCCCAAAATTTGGTACTATCAAAAATAGCATTTGAGCTGTTACGGAATTTTGAATACCGAACAAAAAGATTTGACGTGGAGTTACAACTTTTATACCTGATTTCTCAGATTTACTTCATATTATGTTACTGCTCATGTTACCTTTTTTTTTTTGTATATTAAAAATGCTTAAATAAATACTTTCTAAGAAAAATTGAAATTCCATTTTAAACAAAACGAATGGTCACACTATGCACCGAACACATCTGGCCTCAGGCTCTATCATATGTATTACCAAATATGTACATATGTATGTAGTATGTACCTATGTAGTTTATTGATTATGCTAAATTATTAACTACCATTACGCATATGTACGAGTATTTTCCATAATTATCTCAAATTTTCTTAAAAAATCTGCAATTTTAAAGCTCCATTATTGAATCTTAGCAGCGTACCACAATACTCGAATGATTATTACTTTTGTCGGTAAATGTATGTATGTATGTACTTTACACATTTAAGAAATTTTGACGATGAAGGCTTTGCGATAGTAAATTTCAGAATCCCACTACACTGACTAACAAATTATTTATTTATTCCAAATGCACACTAACCTACCGTTTAACAATCTAAAAGCAAACACATATCTAAAATAACAAATATGTATTTATATTTATTCATCCCATTCCTTACACAAATGACCAACTGAATAAATAACACCCCTTGTATTTAAATGGTGAGTGCATCTTTTTAATGCCACGTTTTTTATTTTTTATTATATATTTAAGCGCTGTTATGATTTCTTAAAGAAACAAACAGCTAAAAGATTTGCAGAGTAAAGAAGCTAGAAATCTCCTTTTTTCCTATCTACCTACTATTTGTACTCTATTTACAAACCCTATTAGCCTATTAGTCTAGCCCGTACGAACGTAGTTTAAGCTAACACCTCAAAAGAAAAAAAAAAGAAAACAATAAGAATCTAAAAAAATATCTTACGTAGTTGTACAGATCTACTCATCAGCAGGCTAAATAATAATTATTATTTTTCATTGTTTCGTGTCTTTCGGTGAACATTTCGTTCATTTCCTCACTGCGATTTGTTTATTTGTGTATGCTCGATTGCTATTCAAAATAAAATTTGCATACCCACAATATACATACATAAATAATTATTGTTCTTGTTGATAAAAAAAAATTATACATAACAACAATCATGATTCATACATAATAAAAAAATAAAATGTTTTTGTTTTTACCGATTTTTCTTGTAACTTATAAGCAATTTTATATAAAGAGTCACCAGAGAGATGATTATATTGAAAC